AAGTTTGTTATCAGTATGAAAAGAAATGAATACCTTTATTCAGCAAGATGCATTCAATTAGTCAAAAGTGACAGTAAATACATTCATAATGTTAAAAAAGATTTATATTTCCAATAAATGCTGTTCTCTTGAACTTTCAATTCATCAAAGAAATCAAAGAAAAAAAATTATCAAGGTTTCCACAAAAATATTAAGCAGCACAACTGTTTTCAACATAAATAATAATAAATGTTTTTGAGCAGCATATCAGCATATTAGACTGATTTCTGAAGGGTCATGTCACACAGAAGACTGGAATAATGATGCTGAAAATTCAGCTTTGATCACAGGAATAAATTACATTTTAAAATATATTCAAAATTTAAAACAGTTATTTAATAATATTTCACAGTATTACTGTATTTTGCAATCAAATAAATGCCATCTTGATGAGCATAAGAGGTTTCTTTTAAAACAGAGAAAAAAAATCTTACCAAACCCAAACTTTTGAATGGTAGTGTTTGTGTGTGTGTTTGTGTGTACATACACACTCTACTGTTCAAAATTACAGTGAGATTTATACAGCGATATATACATGCTGAGTCCAAACGTCTGAGTTCACCTTGGGGATTTAAAATCTAATTTAAATTGGGGAAAAAAAATAAGATAAAAAAAAAAAATTTAAACGAAGTAACATTAATGACATAACATTTTAAGATTCCGACAAAATATTTGGCAATGGAAAGAAAATGCAAAATAGAGACATTGTGGTCTCTAGTCTCACCTCTTGAGGGACTGTAGAGCAGGGCTCTCTGCAGGAAGGCTGCGTAAACCTCGTCCATATGACGTCCCCCCATGGAGGTGGAAACTGAGGTGTTCAAGCTGATCTGGCAGCTGGTCCGGGGCTCTCTGAAGGAGCGCGTGGAGATTGTAGAAACACAGGAACGTGCCTGGCTGAACGCAAACACAAACAGAAGGATGTTTTCCTTACAACATTAGCTTTTTCAATTCTAAAAACTGATGAACCTAGAAATTGCAGTTCAAGTTGCCTTGCAGAACTGTTTTTAGTAGGTCTTCAAGTCCAAACTGCTCTTTTCACAACAGGATTTAAGGCAGGACTTTAACAATATAACTAAAATGGTTTCTTCTTAGCCATTCAGACATAGTAATGCATCCATGTTTTGGATTATTGTCTAGCATCAACCAATTACACTTAATCCCGAGTACAGATATTCGGACATTCTCCTTCAGAATAGTCTATAGTATACAGCAGAACTCATGCCTGTCAAGAACCTCAGAAATGGCTTTGCAACCCTCTCCAAATTGATATATCTCAACTTTCCCCTCAGCTGTTCTGGGAAATTCCTTTAATACAGCATTATGTACCTGTACCTTTAAAATGGCCATTTAACACAAAATATTAGGCCTGTCTGTGTTCAGTCTCCTAAAACTAATTACCAACTAAATGTAACCATTTTCTTTGTTTCAAGCCTAAGGGGGGCAATTACTTTCACATGGGTTTTTCCAATTACATAAATGAAATAATGTTTGACTATCAAAACTATACTTTGTGCTTTTTTAGGCTGAAATGTCATTTGAAGATATGAAACCCTTCAGACAGAAATATGCAATTAAAGAGGGAATCAGGACAGAGAAAATATATATTTTACAGTAATATATGAAATAATATAAAAATAAATGTAACTAAATATAAAAAATAAAACAAGATTACAAAAAAATCACTACTCTAGAGTTATTCTATTGTCTTTTACATTAATAAATATATACAAGCGTTCAATTATCAGTACAGTAGGGGGAGCTACGGCATCAGAGTTGAGCAACATTACAGTAAGATGGTAAGAAAATAAATGCTGGTCCCTCAAGATCACTAGAAGGAACATGAAGACAGCGAAATCACTTAATGAACTCTTGTGCAACAATAGATGCATGATTGTCTTCATATTATGGTCTTTAACGAGTCAAGAAGATGATATATCATCAAACCACCTCTAAACAGATTGGGTCAGATTTCTGTTCTGCATTTACAACCAGATTCTGGGAGTCCTCCTATAACTGTACGCTTCTGACGTCATCTTTGAGGTTTCGGGCAAAAGCTATGTCTTTGTTTACCTGAATTTACCACCCAGGCTCTGTTTGTTCAGAGATTTGAAGTAAGCCTAAGTGCTGGCATTCACAAGAACTAGTTGGATGCGACACAGCCACTAGACAGTGCTTCTATACAGCCTAAAATGGCATTGTGAAGGTGCAAACCAAATAATTTGAACAATCTGAATGTTGGCGTCAATTATTCAGCATCAATATTTGATTGAAACAGACTTATTTCATAAACAGAACAAGGTGGGTGAGCACATTTCAAGAAAACAGGATTGTTTTCCACGAGTGCAAATTTGATTCTGCTCATTACCATCTTGCTTGAGAATAAGCTGACAACCTAAAACCGGGGTGTGAGATTGGAGCTAAAAAGAGAACTTGGAGTGATAAAAACGGCCTTGAAGAAACATGGCTGGATCCATTGAGAGAACCAAATGTTTTCCATCATATCCAACAGCAACAACAGGCATTAAACTCCCAGACCTGTGCTTTCTTTCTCTGGACAAACAATTGGACAAGACCTGAATATCACAATGTTAGTCTGTGCCACCATAAAACATCTACTTTAGTTTCAACACACAACCTTGAGATATGACTGACATAGACGTCTGTTATCTGGTCAGGAATGGAAATAAATGGGAGTACAGTACCATTTTATTACAGACATCACTAACACTAATCTGAACTCAATATAAAGGAATAGTCCAAAAATGAAAATTCAGTCATTATTCACTCAGCCTCATGTCGATAAAATCAGTTATACCTAAAAATTAGACAGGAGTAGCAAAAATACAAATATAAAATACATAATACAGTGTAAAATACATTATACAAAATAATTCATTTTGTATGCAACAATTACTACGCATTTTATTATTAGTTCATTTTTATTACTATTATTTATAGTTTATGTTCTGTATTTTTTTGTAAAGTTCAGCACTGTTTTACTTTAAAATTATTGAAAACCTCAATCTGACGGATTTAAAACTGTATTGAACATTTTCCCATCTCAGTTCAATCAAAATCCACTGTCAGTTGACCTCTTTACAAAAAAAATGTTTAAAAATAAATAAATAAAAATGGCTACTTGCTACTTTTCTTAATATAATGAGAACAAAAGGACAAATAAAGCCATTTAAAATATCATTCTCTACATTACTAGAACTTTGAAGTCATTTGACTACAAACAGACCCAAAAAGTGTAGAGCTTGAAAAAAAGTCTGCACACTCAAACATCAAAAAGTCACAAGCGAGATGAAAGCAATATGAGCAATTTACTGAATAAAAACAAGGCAAACGTTTCAGTCACATGTTGACCATTTTCAATGCCAAGCTAACAATGTTAGAACTAGGAGCCATCTTAATTTGAGGAATCACATGATGATTTAAGAGATCACATGATCAATCAGAACACACACTGATCAAACTACACTACAAACAGACCAAATTTAAGTAGATACTCAATGAAAAAAAAAAGTTTCATCACTGATATCAATGGCGACTGATCAGCACATACAGTAAGAACCAAATGACGCTGATGTGCCATTTGTAGTCTATATGATTTGCGTAGTCCATTTCTCAGGCAAAGATAAGGTACAAATTCAGAAGACTTGGAACAAGTTGCGCACAAGTTGCATGAACCAATTGTATGATACTTTTGTGGTATCATTTTGGTATTTGTAAGCCGCAGTCCCATTTCACTTTCACTATGCAAAAGGAGCTTCTACACTCTTAAAAATAAAGGTTCCAAAAGTTTTTTGTTTTTTTTTACAGAGAGGTTCCACAGAAGAGACACTTTTGGTTCCTCAAAGAACCTTTCAGTGAAAAGTTCTTCATATAACTATTTTTCTTAGTGTGAAGAACATTTTAATAATCTAAAAAAAAAACTTTTTCCACTATAAAGTACCTTTTGTGGAATGAGTGTTAACGGCTTTTCATGGAACCACCGATGCCAATAAAAAACCCCTATTTCTAAAAGTGTAGAAGAATCAGCAGCTTCACAGAAAAAGTCCTTCAGGTTTAGAATGATGGGCCAATGAGTAAATGATGACAGAATTTTCAATTTTTGGATGAACTATTCCTACATCCCATCAGGCTTGCAACATTTTCCTTGAGAAACGGCTCAAACTTAAAACTATCGGTGGAGACGAATCTACATATACTTGGTATTCTCCTAGTCGCGCTCACTGCACGGTTGGTTACGCACAGCAGGGGAAGGAGCCGGGCTTCTCGGCACAGGTGTGCTGTAGCTGGCGTGAAGCTCCTCTGGCAGGAAAACTGTAACGTTCCTCAACTCTCTCATCCTACATGGAAAATTCCATTACACAACTTTGTTGATGTGTGCGGCTGGATAACACAAACCTTGTCCGGACCCTCATCTATATGGAAAAAAACGAATGCACGCTTCGTAAACAGGAAAAGCTGCCTTTCACTAAAATAAACCAATTCCTGTAACACATGCGCTGCTGAACATGAACAAATACAGACAAAGAGTACATTTGAGAAAGCGTTTTGCGAAGGCATTGAATAATAATTCAAAACCCTTGAGGTTACAACCTAAAGTTTATGTACTGTATAAATTTAATAGTTATTAAAGTTATCACACTGAAAAACATGGTGCTGACCAGATGGGTGAAAAAGCTTTGTTTTGCAACATAATGAAGTGCTACACGACCAGATGAACATACACTTTTGGCCATCTATAACGGATGCAATGTAACACACAATTAATTGCAATTTAAATTTACAATGTAAATTACAATTAAAAATTTTTTTTTGGGAAAGGGGTGCTTAATTATTATTATTATGATTTTTTTTTCTATACTCCGAAATATTTTCTATGGTAATCAGCAGACATCAACATGAAGATAAGCAAATGATGACAGAATGTTATTTTGTTAAACTACTGCTTTACGTTGTATTTAAGTTAACATGAACAACATCCACATATAATCCATATTACTGTATGACATCAGCTAAAAAAGAAGGTTGGTTTAGTACAGATCTAATTATTTTAACAAAATAGCTTTACAAAAATGTATTACAAAAGACAAATTTTTCCACAATGTGTGTACTACAAAGGTACAAAGGGTAAAATTTCATGTGGACTTTGACCTGTAATTTTCCTTTAGAAGCATTACTATCTATTATTGTACTTGTAAAAGCATTGTGTTTTTTATTTCTCCAGTCCAGGCTGAGGAATATGGGCTCCCAAGCCTCTAAAAAACAGACTAGCTGTGCAGATTTCTGAAAGAGTCTGTAACTCTGCAGCTATTCTCTCTCCACTTGCTTCTCTTTTCAAAGACACGCTGCGTTTTGTCAGCAAATACTGTGCTTAAGACAGACCCTCCATCGCCTGACAGCCGACAATTCCTGAAGTGCCCCACCACATGCTTGCACAAGTCATATTTAATAAGAGTGCTAAGAATATCAGTTTCTTTTTGTAAGTGTGTGTGGAATAATTTTAGATTTGAGGACATTTTTTTATTATTATTATTTCAGATCAGTATGAGAATGACTGATTTAATTCAAAATAGGGATGGGTCATCACTACAGTCAGATTAGATTTTTATTTATTTATTTTTCCTAGCAGAATGCTTTAAAATGCATGCTGACAGAATTGTTAGACAGTTAAAACTAGGGATACACTAATATTAAAATTCTGGGCAATACTAATAATTATTTTAATGTTTTGGCAGATAACTGATAAATGGTTGAAGTAAAATTTTAAGATATTTCTATAAATAAAAAAACCCCAAAACTCTTAAAACTAAAAATCATCCATTTTAATTGTTACACATGAATATGCGTCACAACACTATAATATACAATATGAAAAATTT